TCACCCACAGAGCGAGTGATTAAGATATATGGATATACGAAGGAAAAGAAAAAGACGTAAATCGACTTATCAGTAGATATAACGAATCACGAGTGATATTGACTTTTTTCTAGCGAATGTTTTCTCAGAAGAATATTTCTTTTTGGAAAAAATTTTCATCTTTGAAAAACGTCACGAATTTGTTTTATTTAAATAATAATTAATGTATTATTGCACACGAAAAATAATCTCGTAAAGAATTGGAATAATTTTTTTTTCCGAATAAAAAAATTTCATTTATTTTAGCACAATTAATTCGTGTAACATCTCTTGTAAAATTATGTGTTACTCTTTCTAATGATTTATAATTGATATAAATAAGAATATTATTATGAAAATATGTTTTTGTATTAAATAAAAATTCTTCTATATAATCATCATGAACTTCTTCAATATCAAGTGCAATAAGATAATTATATTTAACAATTGTTGAATTATAATTATCATTTATTGATTTATAAGATTGTTTATGTTTTTGTGATTGATGATTAATTAAAGATAATTTTTCCATAAATGGAAATAATTGAGAAATTTTAATAAAAAATTCATGTTCAAAAGAATATTCATCATATAATGATATAAAACGAACATATTGATATAATCCACCTGGAAAATTGTTTGTTATCTTTTGATAATATGGCATTTCAGATGGATATGAAAAAACATGACATTGACCCTTTTTTTTTTCAATTTGATTATTAATAAACGTAAGTGAACGAATGTCCAATGTAAATACATTTAACTGTGGTAAACGATTGATAATATTTTTCTTTAAATCATTTCCATCAATAAATTTATCATTAACATAAATCGTAAGATATAAACCAAGTTTTTCTATATTTGACATTCGATAAATAAGTGGCAGAAGTAATTCTTTATAATGTGATATTTCCCAAGCACACGATAGAACAAAACACTAGATTTAAATTGTTTTCCTAGAAAAATAAAATAAAATAAAATTTATTTTCTTTTAAAACTGACTTTATTTTCAATTAAATCTGTTGACAAAACATTGTTAATCAAATCAATAATGAGTGTATGAAGTTGACTAAAACGACCATCAAAAACATAAAGTAACTGTGAGAAATGTTGAACCTTGATATTTTTTAATACCAAAAGACTTGAAGAAGAAAAACTTCGAGATGGAACATCAAATAATAAAGGAACAAAATTTTCATGTGATGCTTCAGAAAACATTAAATGTGTTCATTTTATGAGTCTTGTTATTTGTTTTTTAAAAATATCAGTTGAAAAACTTTCATCTAAACATATAAATATACAATTATTAATCAAAATATATATATGGGCATGGTCAACCATAGGATATTCCAATTTGCTTTGTTTGTATTATCAGTTAAAAAATCTAACCATATTCAGATCAAATTATCATCTTCATTGCTATACTGTTAAATTTTAAATATTAGCTGTTGATCACTATCTTCTATGAAATTATTCAGTCTCTCAAATTATATCCTTTATTGAAAAAAAGTTATTATTTCCTACAAAACACACACAACCAGTACTACAAGTCAAATAAAAACAGAAGAAAAAACAAGTGAATTTGAGAAACAACAAAAATTAAAACTACACTCCGAGAAAAAAATATCTCACAATATTGCACAGAGAATAATATGAGTATTTAACCAGAAAAAAGTTAAGCAATAGCAAAAACAAGCAACTAAGTATAAACACATCTTTATATTGTGAACGCTAATGCCGGCGTGCAGAAAAAATTTTGATAACTCATTCAACTGTTCAATAGTTTGTCGCATTATAAAGAATTGTTTTTCTACAAGAAAAGAAAAAACAAAAGTTTTTATTAGGTCGAATTTTGTTTTAAAAAGAAAATATTTCTTTTGAAAATGATTTAATATCACAGAAGAAAAAACGCTGTATGAGAATTTATGTCTTAAAGACATTTGTTTTTGCTCGATTTAGAAAAGTATTTTTATGCAAAATTATTTCAAATAAAATACATGTATATCGGTCAAATCATTATAATGGTAATTAACAGTGCAAAATTACAAGCGGTGGTCGTCTATATTCTTTCCAGACTTATGGTATGATGATTAGAAACATTCAAGTATTATATGCTTAGTTACTTTTTGATAATTAATCGAAGTATTTCTCATTTTTAATGTTCTACTACAGATTGAAATGCTCAATATTAATTAATTTGTTTGTTGACACGCTTGAGAAACAAAACTGTATTTGTTGAAATCCAAAGTGTATCACATCCGATTATATTTTAAACTTATTCAAAAGGAAAAATCGTTTATTTGCGATCAAACCTGAGTAATAACCATGATCGGAATGGAAAATTTCAATAATTATCCCGAAATAAGATGCAGATCATAATTTTGGTAATTTTAAACAGAAGAAACGTGATAGACAAAATTCTATGCTATCTCATTTCAAAGAAGAAATAGATCTATTTAACCATGATATATTGTATAAAAAAACTTGAAGTCAAGATTAGAAGAATCTCTTGAAATGAGAAAAAACTTTGAGACAAGACTATCGTAATTGAGTAGAGTCTATTGAGGGTAAACAACATCAACAAAGTGGTCATTTCCACATGGTTTTCTTCTTGAATTATGGCAATGTTATTGAGTTTATGTTCTAGTCCAAACTATACCATCAAAAAATCAATCTTACTACTTTAACCAAAATATTTAGCTGTACAAGAGATCTTACGACTCTTATTATACACCGACAGTTCCATAAAGAACAAATGTTTTCTTTGCATGACAGCAAATATAAGTACAAGAAAACTGAAATGTGCATAATTTTTTCTTGATTATGGATATTAGTTAAGAATCTGACATCTAAACAAGAAAAAAATCGTTCGAGGGAAACTTGACGTACTATTGTAGATGTATGACGTCTTTTTTAGTGAATATTTCGGGTCAAAATGATACTATTGAGTTGTTCATGTTATTCAAAATTCTCAAGTAAACTTTCTCTGAAGCATTTCAAGCAATGAACAGTGTTGATTAGAATATAATCGGAAGAAATATCTATATATCGATTTATTTTACAAAATAATTTTCAAATCTGATCTTTTTTCGTCATTTTAAACACGAATTAATATGATTAGTCTTATGTTTTGTAGTGCATTTAAAATGTTCAGATTAATTCAATTTTGATGAAGTTTAATATATGGACTATATCATTCCTTAGGCATGTGATTTTCACAAAATTAAAATCGGTACATTTCGGGATAATGATCTGACTTAAAAATTAACGTTAACGAAATGACACAAACAAGGATACTGATTGTCATTTCATGTATTTTAGCTTTTAGAAACATCATATTCATGCGCAATTTTTACAAAACTAAATATGACACACCATAGATTACTTCTGAAACTATATATAATAAAAATTTTCTCTGCATATGCCTAGATTTTTCAAAAAAAACGATTTATTCGTCGTTAGCGACATGACACGGTAGGACTAGACTGCTCAGAAAGTGTCCTGATAACTCACTGAAAAGTTTCAAATCAACTTCAAACGTTCCAATTATTACTGGGAGTCTCTAGATAATGATGATTAGAGAAAAGTTTTCGTTCTTGTACTTTTTAGAGTCTCTAGAACACTGAGTTTTTGAAAGACATTTTTGGAAGTCTAGTCTCACTGAAAATTTTACCATCGATGCAGCTTGTGTTCTAGAGTCTATACTGATGTTTTTTAGATTTTTTTCTCATCTTCATAGAGAATAAAATTCAAATGAAAGGTGTAAACGTCCCGCTTAACTTAATATAGTCAGTCCATATTCAATCTTAACAACCAGAAAAATATCTAAGGAAATCTGAATATCTAATTATGTTTGTTTATTATAGAAAATGATAAAAGATTGATTACGAAATACGTGATGAGTTTTTTTCCTTCTTGATTTTTCTAATAACGAATAATCCATCATCAAATGTATCATCACGAATATCATTAAAATATCCTTGCCTTCGTCTGGATGTTTTTTGTTTGTTTGTGAGGATGCATCAAATTGATCGCGTACAAAATTAACAAACAGAGTAAAAAGTGTATTTGGTGAAATACTATAATCTGTTATACGTTCATTAAATAATAAATTTTCAAGTTTAGAAAAAAAATCTTTTAATGAAACATATTTTTCAGCTATTTCATGTCGTAATATATTTATATGACGCTCTTTTAAGATAAAATTTGATGAAAAATAATCGAGAACTGTTTGATCTAATGTTGAATCCAGTAAAGAATTCAAGCGAATTTTTATTGTACAATCATCAACAAAAAGATTTTCTAAATGTTGCCTTGAACCAAGACAAAGAAAATAACCATTTACCATAATTGCAATCGCTGAAAATTCTGTTTTATAGTTATCAATATTGAAAATAAGAAAAACTAGGCGTGCAATTTCTGCCGTTTTCAAATATGAAACACATTCTAATGCCCGCTCCAGAATTTAAACGGAATGAATGCAAGTCATATAACTCGAAAATGGCATTAAATAGCGATCTGTAGATTTCAGTAATGGATAGAATAGACTCTGGGAGCATCTTTTTGACCGATACTATATAAAGGCTAATTATTTTGAAATCCTTCATTTTCGAAAAACATTCAGCAAGATGCATGAAAAAGGTGTTCTGTTTCAGTATAATTTTGATTTTCACATGTACTTCAGATAGAGGAACTTCAAACATATAGTTCAAGGAACAGTTCAAGTGATCATCTGCTCACATTTTAATACCAAGGAGGGTGAGTGTGATCGTGGCTGTGGCGGCAAGTGAGGATTCAGCTCTTCTCTATACGCATACCTTACACCCCATACCCACATTCACATCCACCCACACTCTAATTACATAACGAAGAGATGAAAAACTAAGAAAACTTTGAAAATGATGATTACGATTTGACAATGCTTTATATATTTCATAGAAAAATTCATTAGAGAAATTTTGAAATTGAACTTATCGACGGACTAAATGAAAATGGAATAGGCATATTAATATATTAAAAAACCTCTCAGATTCTTTTTCTAAAAGAATTTCATACACTAATGACCAAAATATGGGTCTACAAAAGAAACACAAAATTTAAAGTCAACTATATATGTATACTCTAACAGATGATAAAGATACAAACAGGTGACAGAAGTAACAAAAAAAAAATGTTTATTTTATTTCCAAAAATCGCATATATGCTTCATTATAACTGATATCGGGTTATTTCGATGGCGAATAATTGTTTTATATATTAGGTAACACTTTTTATCCTAAAACGAACTCATCTTAACAAAATAAAAATAACAATTACAGTCCATGATTTTTAAAAATAATTCATTAATTTGTCTTAATTTATATGACATAATCACTGAAAAAAAGATTAGAAAATCAATTCTGTATTCAACTGTTAAATTCATAAGTCTTGTTCTTTCCCTTCTTAACAATATTTCTATTAAACTTATTTTCAATCATTGTTATTTTTGTTTCGTATCTACTTGAATTTTTATAACTATTTCTATCATAGATAGAGCTCAAAATCTGTGATCACAGGTTCTCACCCGAACTTGATTGACAGAAAAAAAAAGGATTGAGTGAAAAATCATAAGCTACCTTTGTCTTTATTGAACCTGTTCTCAATATTCAAACAGTATTTTGATCTGATTTATCCATCATTCTGGAGCTATTTATTCGGAAATTTCACAATCTTCCTAGTGGGAGAGAGATTGCACATAGAGACCTGAGCATTAGATTAAAAAACAAGAGTTCTACTACTTTTGTCTTTTTTTTCTTTTGATAAAAGCTAACAAAGGACCGCAATTCATAAATCCTGCATCAGTTTAAGACTAGGCCATTCAAACCGTATTAACAGAAAATAAAGCTCTGTGTAATGTTTACTCGAACTACTTTTTAAATTGCTTCGACAAGAACATCAAGGCCAACGATTAAATTTAAAGTCATTGTGATGTCTCAAGAGTTTCCTGTAAAACTTATACTGTAGATGTAAGAACAATTGGCTTCAACATTACAGATGAATCAGATCCAGACATCCATTGAATCTTGAGACTACGTTCACTAAAGATATAAGTAGTTTATGACTTTTAACTCAATTCTTATTTCAGTCAGTCAAGTTCGAGATGGTGCTCGTGATCACAGTTTTTTTTAATTCTATCTATGATAGAAAACCATATAAATTTGCCTGAATTTTCAAATGTCCCAAGACTTCGGACGAGTTGTGTATAAATATCTGGTTTCTTTTGTCTTGCAAGCAACTTTCTGGATACTAATCTGCTAACGATCTTAAACACTTTTATATTAAAATTTATAGGAAAATGAATCACTACTCTTATATCATCTAATTGATCGAGAAAATAAAAACTTTTAATCGAAAGCATTCGATGTAAAAAAATAAAAAGTATCAATTTTTTTATTTTTATTTTCAAAAGTATAATGAAAGAGAAAACATAGTGTAGTTATTATATTAAGTTCCACTCTAAATGGACATAATTAAGTACACGCTTAATTGTAAAATGACGAAGTAATTTTTCACGATTGATCATTTCTTCTAATTCATTCATTATTTGAACATCTATTTTTGGTACTTGAAAATATAACGATTGAAGATATTGATGACGATTAATAATTATTGTTCTTAAAAAATTTCTAATGAATAATTTCTGATTAACATCGTAAATAAAATTCACTTTAAGATATTTCATACGAAGACAAAGTCTAAGAAGAAAATAAACTTCTTCGCTTTTCTTTACATTCTCAAGATAAACTTTTGTAATTTTATTTTGATATGACACCAAACGAAGGTTTTGATCATCAATAAATGAATATCGGATTTCTGATATTGATAAATAAGCTATTTTCAATGAATCAAGTTCAGGTAATACATTAAGAATTTTCATTAATGAACTTGATATAACTGTTTGTTCCGAAGTTTCCAAATGATAAATCTCTGCTACTGGTAAAACAGTACAAATAGAACTCATGAAGGATTCGATGTATTCATCACAAGGAAAATATGTCATAGTCAATTGAGTAGATTTAGAAAAGTCTATAAAAGAATTGATATTATACCATCTTTTTCTAAACGATAAATAAATATATACTAAATATAAAAGTATCGCCTATAAATACTTGAATGGACGAATTGAATAAATGATCTGAAAGTCAGTGATTTCCATTTCTAATATAAATTTTCGTTCAATCCAGAACAATGAAGTAAATGGTTTACCACGTTCAAAATCTATTCGAATTGGAGATTTATTTTCAATATTTTTATAACATTTTAGAGAGAATTCTTTTAAATGAGGTAAATAATCTAATATCAATGCTTTCCATCGATTAGCATCAAGATAATTGTCATTATCACATGTATTAGTAATATGTAAAACTTTCAATTGACACTCGATTTTTCTAATTAATTGTTCAAATATATCAAATTTAATAGCACAATCTTTTATAGAAATATATATTAAATTGAATAATCTAATTTGTAATCTAGTATCGAGATTTATCAGATTATCATCATATACTTCTTTACAATGGCAATGACGAAGCTGTGGTACATAGGATAGAATAGTACAAAATTCATTAAATGTACAGCAATGATCAACAACAATATATTCGATGGTACTGGATTTCTGATTGGTAGCAATTGGTAGTGAAACAGCTACGATGGATTCCATTGGTGAACATTTAATATATATTAATTTTGGTAAAGCAAAAATTAAACAATAGATTTCACTTAATTCATCAAATGTGTCAAACGTACAGATTGTTAATGAAAAAAGACGAGGTAAACAAGTTAACTTCATAAGAAGTGAAATAAGTATGGTTGTTTCGAAATCTGTAAGTACAAGAGATTCGAGATGATCTAGTGATGAATCAATAAGATACGACGAGAATAATTCACTACTTTTGAATGGTAAGGATATTTTAAATGAAAGTATTTGATGCTTATTTATCAGTGTAAGTTGCTTATATATGTTCATAAATAATTTATTAGATGGTAATTTAATTTTAAATTTAAACAGAAGTGATGAAGAATTAATTAATTGTTGAAAATGATGATTAAGATTTGAAAATGCTTGATAGATTTTATAACCGTCAAGATAATCAAATATTTCATAGAATATTTCAATGGATAAATTTTCAATAGACGTTATTGGTGTTCTATATGGTAATTTAATATAAAATAACAAAAATTCTTTTTATAACTTACATATTCTGATCAAATTTACATTGTAATTTGTTTGTTTCCTTGTTCGCACAATCATCGAAACTTATTTTTCGTTTCACTGGATACATAGTTCTGCTTAAAAATTCAATCTGATCTAAAACAATCATACAAAGGAGAATCTTCAAGGTGATTGTCTTTAACTAACGACTTATATTACAATTGATCTATACGATAGAGAAAATTTATTGTGTCATGCACATAAAAAACAAAAAAATTGACAACATGAGGATGGAACATGGACTGTGTATACTTTTAGTGCTTATCGATGATACGAAAAAATAATAAAATAAACGTGTAAATTTGCCTCATATGTAAAGAACATACGATATTTACATTCTTTGGTAACAGAGCCAATATCATGCACGTTGCTGATAACGATCATGAATTTACAAAATGTATATAGTGTATCTCAATTGAAGCACTTGTAATAATAAATTAACAATAGCGATTCGTTGACTGACTGTCATTTTTCGAAATTCTATTCTTTTATTCATTATTGAATATAAGATTATCGGTGAATGAATGAATGAGATAGTGTGACGAACTCGCAAAGTGAAATTGTTATTGTAACGAAATATCCTTATAGTATAATCTTCGTTGTTCCTATTTCAAACACTACTACGACCAAAGATATATCCTTGCCTTCTCCTCCCACTTGGTCACATGTATCTCATCAAAGAGAGAAGAAAAGAAATGAATACATTGTTGATAGAATGGGTACGTGGCCATTGTTATTAACATCGTCCATTCGTCTATATGGCTGATAATAGATGGCAGTTCGCATATTAATTTTTCTGAATAACGAGAGCGAGTACGATTCGCATTAGTTATTGGCACAGTTATTATCTTCAATAAGGATGTTTAATAAGGCACTTCATTAATTTACTCGTATCTATATCATTACGAAAACATTATTAATTATAAGCAATTTACTGAACTCTCTCTCCATGACCGGACCTAAGAGGCGACAGTGTTGATTATAAGTAGCTTGTGAAGAATGAAAGGCAACTAAAACATACAACGCATCAAAAAATTTGTGCAAAGATAATACGAATCATAGGCGATGGTTTGCATAGTCGAACCACTTTGGTATGAAATCAGAATACATAGATGAACGATGAACCTCTTAAGAATTTTCCGCTGTCACTGATTATCACTTTTAAAAAGGTGGAGGAACGTCTAATATAATTTTCTTCTGACGAGGGAACCGTTTCAAGTGATTCACGCCGATTTTGCTTATATTTTGCCCATATGTAGGGGTCAGTATGCTAAGAAAAAGCCTAAGAGGATTTGGGC